CTTGTGTCGTCATTACCCTTAATTACATATAGGGTTGCTTGTTAACCATAATCTAGTCAAATTATGCCAACTGTTAATGTCATTACGTATAATATGTTATGTCATTACGTATAGTACGTTGCTAAAAAGCATCTTCAAGGTGATATTACATTTGTAGTTGCTTTTCCCATCATGCCAACAACTTAATAAAAGTGTTAACACTTTTTTGTCCATTAACATCACAAGGACCACATGTTCTTAAATGATGTAATTCAATGTCACTACCATTCCCTTTTAACAATAATTGTATATTTTGTCCGGAAAGCACACAAGGACCACATGACAAATAATGGGAATTGCATGCATGCAACGTGAAAACTAATAGGGATCCGAAACTCTTAATATATAAGGACAACCAAAGCATGATAATATTACAAACCATTGTCAAAGCAAACATACTAACTTCAAACAAACAAGTAAAAGTCAAAGCAAACAAACAAGTAAATGTCAAAGCAAACAAATAAGTACAACTTAATGTCAAACCATTGTCAAACATAACCATATGAAACCATCAAATTCACCCTACTCATTAAGGTCTACCGGGTTTGCACTAGTTTTACCTTTCCCATCCTTGGTCTTAACCTTCTTTGCAAGTTTCTTTTTTATGATCCTCTCAGATTTTTTTCTTTTACCACCAATTTTTGGTCCACAACTTCCTTCATCAACTCTAGTTGGTCCACAGCTTCCTTCATCAACTCTAGTTTGTCCACTACTTCCTTCATCAACTCTAGTTGGTCCACAACTTCCTTCACCATTTTTACCCTTGTAAACTATTTTCTTTTTCTTGACCTTTAGTTTCTTGGTCCTTAGCACCCTTGACCTTTCTACCTGTGGCCTTTCAACTTTAGGACAAGTAACCTTATTATGCCCTGGTTGTTTATACACACTACACAATATTATTTTCCCTGCCTTAGATACAGTGTGCCTTGGAAGCTTTTTTGATGCATCTCTTCTTCTGTTTACCTTTGGTCTACCTGGCATTCTTCTCTTCATTGGTGGTAAGCGTGGTATGAACTCAGTAAGTGGCCACATGTTGCTACCATTCATCCCATGTATTTGGTATTTGTAAGTGTTCTTGTAGAAGGCAGCATACAACATTGGATCAACATAAGTGGCTACATCTCTATTCAGATATGATATAGTAGCTGCTGAATGCACACAACCATACCCATTAAGTGGCCATACTCTACAAGTACAAGTCTTCTTGTCCAGGTCAACAGCATATGATTCTGCCAGGTTTCTGGTTTCAAATTGGTTAAGGTCACTTGGTAAAACCTGTCAATACCTATTTAAGGCACCTTATAAGTTAGTATGTAAGGTATATTAAGAGAGTAAAGATTAGAAAGTACCTTTGAGCTATTTTCAATTTATTTAGTAGGAGTGTAATTGATGGGCAAGGTTTGTAATCAGGCCATGAACAACCTTTCATCTTCAAATTGTATAGCCTCTCCATAACATATAATCTAATCTCCTCTAACATGGTGATGATTGGCTTTTTCCTTGCATCCCTGATGACACTATTAAAGCTCTCAGATAATCTATTTTCCACTGAATCACACATCTTTCCTTCTTGAAAGAATGCTCTACTTCAAGATTTTGGGCTTGTTTCCATAAGGTAATCATAGGCTGCAAGATTAAGTACTTGAATCTTCTTCATGGCAGCATTGAATAAAGGCTCAGTGGATGCTTTGCTTGTCTTCCAAAACATGGTCTCATAGTGTACACCACTGAATCTTTTCCTAAATTTGGCAACAATATGTCTTGCACACTGCATATGTTCAGCAATAGGAAGCACTTCCTTGACAGTCTCTAACAACCCCTATCAAATAACAATGATATTTTAGACATAATGTAACTTAATTGTATAATATATAAAGTTGAAAGTATAGGACATACCTTATGCTGATCCGACATCAATGATATACCAAAACCATCCTCTAGATGAAAGTCATCTTTCAGATTTTCCAAGAACCATTTCCAATTTTCTTTGTTTTCTACACATACAACTGCCCATGCAATTGGGAATATGTGATTATTAGCATCCTTTCCTATAGTACATATTAGCTCTCCTGAACATAAACCCTTTAAGAAACACCCATCCAAATTTATTATTCTTCTGCAGCTCCCTCTCCACCCTTGCTTTAGGCCATCAAAACAAATGTAAAACTTACTAAAATAAGTCTTACCATCTGGCATAGCATTAACATCGATTTTGACTGTTGATCCAGGATTTGATCTTCTTATATCCTCACCATATGACCATAGCTTTGCATAGTGATCCACTAGTGTTCCCTCAATCAACTCAATTGCATACTTATTTGCTCTTTTACACTGTCCCATACTAACATCTATCCCAAATTTCTCTTTAAACTCATCTCTAAGGAGCCTAACACTAACTTTTTGTTTCTGTAAGAATTGGGTAGTGTAATGGGTACCTATCCAAGCATAGTTGACAATTGAACCTAATTTGAAGTTTCTTGAACAGTTATGCTCATTTATGAGACTCTTAATTTGGAAAGATTTTTCCTCACTCATCCAAGATGCCCACAATCTAAACTTGCAAGCACCAGAACAACATTTCACTAAAAGTCTCCTGCTATCATTTTTCTTGTAGCATAACTGATAACCATTTGCAACAGCATTGTTACACAGCATGTGTTTCAGTTGTTTAGGATTCACAAATCTCATACCTAATACAGGCTCCTGTTTTTTCCAATGAACTTTGTCATTGTAAATATCTTGGTCATTAGATATTACCTCATCCTCATCTACATGATCATATGGCTCTTCATGAGGAGGACTTTCAGGGGTAACTTGGTCCTTTAGGCACAGTTTGCTCAAAAACTCATCATTTTTTGTCATGTTCATAGGAATACATTCATCGGGTTCATTGTCAACTTCCAAGTCAATGCCATCATCTTCAATGTGAATGTCATCACCTTCCCCATCTTGCATATCCTCCCTATCACCTTGAACATTTTCAACTTCAATGTGAATGTCATCACCTTCCCCATCTTGCAAATCTTCCCTAGTGCCTAGAAAATCATCCGTAACACCTTGCCAACTATGACCCACCAAATCCTCAATCTCAATTCCATCATCCATATCCATACCACATTGCACTTCTTCACCAACTTCATTTCTACCATACAATTCGTCTAATGAACTGCATAATTCTACTTGCTCGTCAAGAATCCATTGATGTACATTAACACCAAGATGGTCCATGTATACATTAATAACACTAGCAGAAGCATATCCTACTTCGATGAAGTCCATGTAGTCTATATCAGTAGCTATTACCCTCAATCCATCATGGAACTCCACGTCGGGCATGCAAAAGTAAAAATTGAAGCATACCTCATTAGCGAATCTTTGAATGAACCCCACAAACTCGTTCTTGTCCATTCCAGCAAAATCGACATCATCGAACCTTTGCTCTGCACCATCTGAGTAACAAATAGCGGGGTACCTTGTAAAAATTCCGGCAAAATGGAGATCTATCTTCATGTAGACAGCCATAGGATTGATTATGTTGGCCGATTTGAGCGAGGAGGAGTTTAAGAAACGGATTCGTCTCAATCACGGTTTGAAAAAAGTATACCAATGAAAAAGGTAGCAGAATAAATGAAAGGGACAGTTGAGAGGGTTTAAACGGATATTAAGTTTCATTTAATAACAAAACACGTGGCAATGAGGTGGCATATTTAATCTAGTTGGCAATGAGGTGGAATAAAACAACGTCCTAGTCGGATGGGTGTGACCGGTTGCACCCTTTAAATCTAAGAATGTGACCTTTTAACCATAAAATCACAAGTATAATCCCTTTAAAAGCAAAAAATAGTCACGAGGGACCATTTAAACCAATATACGAAATTTTGTTGGCTATAGTGACAATAACCCAAAAAAATAAAAGAAAGTAGCCGTTGTAGGAGGTCAAACGAGATTGAAAGGAGGAAATGAATTGATTAGGCGTTGCAGTTTGTTGTCCGTAGCACGAAGGTCCACGACCACAACCCACAACGAACCACCGGGATGGTGTGCATGGTCGTGGTTCGTGGCCACCTAGACCACGACCTCGTCCGTGACCACCATACCAGAAGGCCTTAGTGAAAAGTTGCCCCTCAGTCAAGCCCGTTTTAGACGAAAAGTGTAGTTTATGAGAAAAGTACGAGGTGTGTATTAGTGGTTCTAAAAAAGTGACAATATTATTGAAGAAAACAGTGGTGTCAAAGAGTTTTCAAAAATTATATATATATATATATATATATATATATATATATATATATATATATATATATATATATATATATATATATTAAAGATTTGGACATGTAGAAGTTGTTTTTGGGTATTGAAATTCTAAATAAATGGTTTTGTCTTCTCAAAGAAAATATTGCTCGGAAGTGTTCCATGAATTTGGTGTATTCGCTTGTAAACAATTTGGTACTCCTATGAACGTGAGTGATGTCATTAGTGATGATGGTGAAAATTTAAATGACTCACCGCGACTAAATGGAAAATTGATCTACTATTACATATCTAGATATTTCGTTTGTTATTCAGACTTTAAGCCAATTCATACAATCTACCAAGAAAGTTTCATTTGAGACTTGCTACAAGAGAGTTAAGAATCTGAAGTATTGGCATAGAATATGTGATTTAGTTATTTTTTTTTTCTTGGTGAGTCTCTTATATTCTAGAACTAGAATAGCAAAAACGCATGCATAGCATTATGTTGGATTTCTAAATATATAGAATCTGGATACAAAGCAATGGCTCTAGAAACTTGTAAGATTCCTTGGGTATTAAAGGTTTTGAGAGATCTAACTATGGACGTTTTGCCTCCTGATCTGTTGTGATAATAGATGTGCCATTCATGTGTTCATCTACACCTATTATCCATGAAAGAACCATACTTTGAAATTCATGTACATTTGGTTAACGAAAAAGTTGGATTTGGAATGTTGAAGAAGATGGTATATTTCACTTTAGTATTTTGGTTGATGTGGATTATTTATTACATAGAAGAAAATACAAACTTTCCCATTACAAAATGGAGAAATCACAAATAGTCTCAACTGCTTGTTCAAAAGTGAAGATGATACATTATTTGTTATCAGGTCAAACACCAAATGCAAACAAACAGACACCCACTTCCTCCTAGGGTTCTCCACCAAGCTCCACTCGGAGGTTATCATATGGAAACACCTTTGGAGTCTATTCAACAACAGCAAAAAAATAATAATAATAATAAATTAGTAGTCATTACAAATGAATAAAACTGTAATTCAAATCTGCTTATTATCACTTCATATAGTTTCCACGTGTGGATAAAATGGGCTGAATGGATAATGATGTTAATGTTTGTGCGGATATAAAGATTGTTTCTTTTTTTTTAACTGAATGTAGTCTCTGAATTGTCTTGAATCTTTAACAAATGACTATTTTACCCTCCTGTTAGAAATTATGATGAAGGGTAGTGGTGGTAATAATCCAGTTCTTAATAGATAAATTAATCATCCATCCACTTAGCCATATAAGATCTAATGTATCTATAAAGTTAAAAAAGAAACAAATCTATATATATCATCTTGTATGTGTAAACATAGCATCAAGTAGCGACTTTTTTCGACTTTAAACTATCTCCTAACTTATTTAACATATAATGCTTTTTTTTTTTGAAAGATAATAGTTAGATTTATAGTTTTTATCTCTTACATAGAATCACAAAAAGATTAGCAAGGTTAAGTTTGTTATTTGATTTCCTTAGTTTTATCTCTGTTAGAGCATATTTAGAAATCAAATATATATATATATATATATATATATATATATATATATATATATATATATGTTGAAAGTTAAAGCAATTGAAACTTTTTCTAAATGCAGGCTGATAGAATCATAGAATGTTAATCTATGGATTAAATTCACTTCAATGGTTAAGTTTTTTTAGAACCCTAGAAAGGTTCTTGCAAGCCGAAAGTAAAAAAGAAGTAAAGAAAACACCAATTCACCCTTAAGTAATTTAATAATCATAATTTCATCCCTCACATTCATCTCACTTGTTTCAATACTTGCAAGAACTTGGTTCTTTTATGTGGTTATTATTCATTCAGCATATGATGTTCATGGATTTCTCCTTATTAAATAAGTAACAATATTTGGTATCAAGATCATGGGACTTACAAATGGTATCTTAGAAGCTTTGTCGTTCAAGGTAGCCATCAATCCAAGAGTTGCAAAAAATCCCAATCCACCACATAACCAACCAAGTGCTTCATACTGAAATCAACAGTAACTTGAATGAGTTCAATATCAATAGAGAAATGAAGTTGATTCAAATTTAACCCAAACAGGAAGCAAATTGAGGAAACATGAAATTTTACCTTTCCAACAGTGTCAGCTATGCGATCAATACAGGGTTCAGGGAATGCAGTTCCATTATCCCACATCAGCTCGTCATTTACAGGGAGCTGAAGCACACAATGAAATTGTTCAAGATTTTCTACAATCGTCTAATTCAGTCCATACGACCATCAAGTTCATATAAAATCGGGACTTTTTAACCAATTTTTATTCTATAATTTGGTTAGTCTTCGTAACTGATCGCTAGGGTTTCGTTCTTTTTTTTTTCTGAAAGTAACTTCAAAGCAATTAATTCCAACCATGACATCCAAATTTAACTTTGAACTGAAACTGAAATTGACTAATATGTTTGTGATCTGAGAAATGAGGGAAATGGAAATTACAACTTACAGGCTTATCGGGAACGATATGTTTGCCAACTGGTAAGCCCATACCGGAGCGGAGACGAAGAGAAGATGCCACAGAGCGGCCAACGACGCCGTTTCCGCCCATAATCTGAGACGCCACATTGCTCAATCTTCCGGCCATTGTTATTTTGATCAGATTCTTCAAACTGATAGATGTAATATGGCACACCGATGACTAATTTTGAGATCGGCTGACAAAGGGTGATTTGTTCATGTGAAAATTGGGGATTGTTATTGGGTATGGGTCGGACCCTCACAGCCAAGCCCATTTAAGCGTGTATATATCTAATTCTAGTAAAATACAGAAATAGTCCTTTGGTTATCAAAAAGCAGCAGTTTTAATCCCTTTTTTTTTGTTACAATTTCATACTTAAATTTAGACTATATTACAACTTTGATCTCTGAAAATATGAAATTGACATTCTTATTCTTTATATTTTTTTACTTTTTTATTTTATTTTATTTCATTCTTTTTTTTAAAGTAGAATGGCAAGGATGTTGTAACATTCCGTTTGAAATTAAATGGAATACGTAAATAAATATTGACCCTAAACCCCGAGCTGTATATATTATATTTATATATTTTATTATAGCCCTAAATCCGTAATAACTTAGCAGGCTGATAGTTTCGGGGAGTTAAATGTCATAATTTAGATTTTGGGGGTTAAAGTGTAAGTTCCGGATTGTTTTCGTAAAGATTTTTGAGGTTGAGGGTTGTTTGGTAAATTATGGATTTATGTTGAAAGAAATTAAGATATAGGGGCTGGAAGTGTAATTATGTGTGAAGTTTGCAAATGACTGAGCATATACTCGTCACCTCTTCTCAATCAAACCTTAAACTTAGTTCATCCTCCAGCCGCCACCATTCTTGGAGCCTCCTCTAGTCGCCGCCATCAGCCTAACTGCCGCCTAGAACCACCAACCGTTCACCGGTGCCTTTGTTGCCGGCGATATCGAAGACCGACGGGAAAACCCAATATGATGTTGATGGGTTTGAGCAAAATAACATTCCTATGTGCACATGCAAAACCCTAAAGCTTTGGATCTAAGTTTCTCTATTGTACATGCAAATCATCCAAACCTATAAAACCCTAGATCTAGCATATGAAATTCGAAATTAACAACTAAAACAAGTTTAGATGGTTACCTTTCACAGGTGGCAAGAATCTTCAACTTCAAGAGCTTAGTATCACAATTGTAATACCTCTGATGGCTTACAAACACCAAGGCAAGAAAATGATCTTTAATAGAGGGAATGGAGGCTCCAAATTCGGCTCTAGAACTCTTACGAATAAGTGGTAGCCAATTTTGGGTGCCCTAGGGTCCCTTATATAGGTGTGCTTCTAGGGTTTCAGTCAAAACCCTAATTGGATAGCTTAGGCCTTAAGCAGTCCAAAGAACCTTCTGGAATAAGGCCATGGACAAAATCATAGTGGGCTTCCACTCTAATTTCCGTCCCCCTTATATCCATAAGGATCTACAGCCCAAAATCCAATTATCTTATAATTGCTATACGAGTCCCCTTTATTTAATTAATCTCTTTTAGTCACAAAATTAATTCTTAATTAATTCTTGACCAATATTAATTAAACAATATGATTTCTCTTTTAATATATTATTCTTATAATATATTAATAAACCATAATATCCTCTCTCTCCATTAATCATCCATTCAAGTTGCTTTGGTGAAGGCAACCCAAAAGGACCATGCTATTATCGGGTCAAGTACATACCAAATACAGTTATGGGCTTAGACACCTAATCCAACGGTCTCCCACTTGGATAAGTCTAATAACTATAATTACAAGTATGACTTCAGGATCTGATTAGCAATCGTAGCTCTCAAAAGCCTCTGTCAACTCTGACCCAGTCAAACGGCATATCCTTTAGATAAGGGATCGTATAGTCCTCCGTTCTCAAGATATTGTGTGGACAAATACATGGAACATAGTCATACTTATTGTCCAGTAGTTTGTTTCTCGATCTCAGATTTGTTCGGCATAGAACTTAACTAAACACGTCAATTTAGTCCTGACCGGGCCCGACACATAAGTCAAACCAAATCATCGAGGGGCCCAAGATATCACTTTTGTCCTTGTGAGACAAAAGGAACAGATAAACTTCGACTCATATACTTGTACTATTTGCTCATCAAACCGTACACAACAATACGTTTTATAACATCAAGTTACTGATGCGTTTACGCATTATCAATGCACAACCAAATAGCAAACAACAACTCATATCTCTAGGTTTAAAAACTATATGATATTATCGTCTTACAATCACTTGTGATTAATTCCATGAAGTGATTCAAGTAAGCGCTGGTTTAATCCAATACTCAAATCTTATTTCATAAGCACTCATGAACATTGCAGCAAACTTTTGCTATGTCTAAAACACCTTAGACAGTCTACAAACCAATTCATGACATTCTTCTTTCATACCTACTTCCGATGTATGAGCGACTGTAACGGTTCGAATAATCTTATTATTCAAGAAGTCAAAACATGCAAAATGAAACAATAGTAAATAATTAACATAAGACAGTAACTTTACTTATAAATAAAAACACATTTTATTTAATCATCAAATGTCAATTAAAATTTATCTATTACAAGTTTCTAAATCTATCTAATAAAAAAAAACTAATATCGTCCTTCAGTCCAATGCTCCTAGTGTGCTGCAAGTGCTTAACCCTAGTCAGTCCCTTCGTAAGGGGATCTGCTGGGTTATCCTCTGACGATATCCTCTTCACAACAAGGAGTCTCTCTTCTACGCAATGTCTAATAAAATGATATTTCCTGTCGATATGCCTGGATCTGTCATGATCCTCGGTTCCTTGGTCAAAGCAACCGCACCTTCGTTATCGCAGAAAATCTCCATAGGCTCCTTTATGGCAGGTACAACTTCAAGGTCTCCGATGAAGTTCTTTAGCCATATTGCCTCCTTTGACGCTTCACTCGCTGCTATGTACTCTGATTCGCATGTTGAATCAGCCACAGTTTACTTCTTGGAACTTTTCCAAGTCACTGCTCCTCCATTTAGAGTAAAGACCCAGCCTGACTGAGATCGGTAGTTATCTCTGTCTGTCTAAAAACTGGTGTCACTGTACCCTCGTACTCTCAAGTCATCACTTCCAATGAGGACTAGGAACCATTCCTTGGTCCTTCGTAGGTACTTAAGAATATTCATGACTGCGGTCTAATGGGCTCTACCAGGGTTCCCTTGATATCTGCTGACCATGATCAAAGCGAAGGCCACATTAAGGCGAGTACAAGTCAAAGCATACACGATTGAGCCGACTGCGGAAGTGTAAGGAACTCGGCTCATTTCTGCTATCTCATCCTCTGTACTCGGGCTCTGAGTCTTACTTAGTTTGGTATTGCTTTGGATTGGTAACTCCCCTTTCTTGGAATTCTCCATGCAGAAATGTTTCAGCACTTTATCCAAGTAAGTACTTTGACTAAGTCTTATTAGTCTCTTACTCCTATTTCTCATTATCCTTATCCCAAGGATATAGGCAGCTTCTCCGAGGTCCTTCATAGCGAAGTACTTCCCAAGCCAGGACTTAACTTCCTGCAAGGTTGGCATGTCGTTTCCTATGAGTAGTATGCCGTCCACATACAGTACGAGAAAACTAACTATACTCCCACTAGCTTTGACATATACGCAGGACTCATCTTCGCTCCTCGCAAAGCTAAACTCTTTGACTTTCTCATCGAAACAAAGATTCCATCTGTGAGATGCTTGTTTCAATCCATAAATGGACTTCTCAAGCTTGCACACTCTATTAGGATGTTTTGCATCAACAAAACCCTCTGGCTGACTCATGTAAACATCCTCAACTAACTTCCCATTAAGGAAAGCGGTTTTGACATCCATCTGCCATATTTCATAGTTATGAAACACAGCTATGGCTAGCATCACCCTAATAGACTTTATTTTCGCAACAGGCGAGAAGGTCTCATCATAGTCAACTCTAGGAGTTTGAGTAAAGCCCTTCGCAACCAATCGCGCCTTGTAAGTGTGTACTTTCCCATCCATGTCTGTCTTCTTCTTGAAGACCCACTTACACCCGACTGTCTTACGACCTGGTACATTGTCAACCAAGTTCCAAACTTCATTGTCATACATGGACTGAATCTCGTTGTCCACTGCCTCTTTCCATTTTGCAGACTCTGGGCCTGCCATGGCTTCCTTGTAGTTGTTAGGCTCGTCCAAATTTACTAGTGTACTATCACTAATAAACGTATCCCCTTCAGTAGTAATATGGAATCCATAAAATTCAGGTAGATGGCTAACTCTACTGGAACGTCTAAGAGGTAAGGACTCGTCAACAGGTTCAACAGGAGTTTCCTCCTCAGGTTGATCGCTAGTGTTGGAGGTTCCTTCATCACTTGACTCTTGAAGCTCTTCAAGATCAATTTGCCTCCCACTGTCCTCTTGGCATATGATCTCTCTCTCTCTCTCTCTCTCTCTCTCTCTCTCTCTCTCTCTCGTGTGCGGAAGACTCCTCTCCTCGCAAGGAAGACAACATTGTCACTCGGTCTATAGAAGAGATATCCAAAAGACTTATGTGGGTAACCGATGAAAATACACCGCTCACTACGAGTTTCGGGCTTGTCGTGAGTATCTCGTCTTACGAAAGCCTCGCAACCCCAAACCTTGATATGTGCCAACGAGGGAGCTTTCCCTGTCCACATCTCGTGAGGTGTTTTGGCAACCTTCTTGGTAGGGACTAGGTTAAGGATATGGGCGGCAATCTCTAAGGCATACCCCCAGAATGAGATGGGTAGCGAAGCACGACTCATCATGGAACGAACCATGTCCAACAAGGTCTCATTGCGCCTCTCAGCCACACCATTAAGTTGTGGTGTCCTAGGTGGCGTCAATTGTGAAACTATTCCACATTCCTCTAGATACTCGTGAAACTCGATACTAAGATACTCTCATCCCCGATCGGATCGTAGCATCTTTATCTTTCTGCCCAGCAAATTCTCCACTTCATGTTTAAACTCTTTGAACTTTTCAAAGGTTTCCAACTTATGCTTGATTAAGTAGATATACCCATATCTACTATAATCATCAGTAAAAGTCATATAGAAGCGACAAGAATCCCTTGTGGTGGATCTGAAGGGTCCACATACATTAGTATGTATGCGATCCAACAAACCCTCACCCCTTTCACAAGTACCAGTGAAGGGTGACTCAGTCATCTTTCCA